AAAAAAAAAAAAAAAAACAAGCAATAAAGAAGAGAACAGAGAAAAATTTTAATTATTGATTCAAATGCTAATCATTTTCAATAGCGTATATCAGCCTTTACGCTCCTTTCATCTCTCATCTCTTATTATCTCGGATTTAAAAAATGCCAAAATTGTCATATAGAAGGTTTATTACAGTTATTATTATTGTTATTGCAATTACATATTACTCATTATTACTACTACCAATTTTACCATCATTATTGTCGTTATTATATATTATTATTACTGTTATTATTAATTATTAATTAACTATTAATAGCAATAGCAATAGTAGTAATACCAGTAGTAGTAGTAGTAGTAATAGTAATAGCAAGTAATAGTAATATTGGTATATTTTCGTTATTACTTTCATTGTGAAAACGATAATTACTATTATTGCTGATATTTCGATTATTTATTTTGTAATACTTCTTCTTAAAAAAATTTCATTCATTCTTGTTTCAAAAAATTTATTCATTTCATGTGACGTAATAATAATTTGCGATTTAATTAATGCACTGTCGCAAACTGTTTCATATGATGATGCAATTAAGTTCACATGATAATTTGGGCCACTCAATGAAGAAAGAGAACGATACTGTCAACGAGAGATGTTTTTATGACTTAATTAGTCTCATATTCAGCATTTCTGAAAGTGATTGATTTTGTCAAAATTATTAAATTTTTTCTTCTTACCTTTCACACAAATGACTTTTTTGAACAATCTATTTAATGCAGCATCATTCTGCTATGAATAGATAGGATGATAATCAATAAAGTTAAATATAATATGCAAAAATAACAAAAGTTACAAAAATATTGAAAGATAGCAAAAATCACAAAAATATTGAACTGTTGTTGAGAAAATGAAATCGAAAATATTGAAAATTATAAGTTGACTGTTTGATATTATTGTACTGTAATTATAGGTTGATATTTAATTTGTCATTCCAATTTAATTTTCATAACAATTTGAATGCAATGTATTGAAAATTATTTTAGAATTTATTCTGCTTTGATTACAAATAATTATAATTATTATCTGCAATTTTCAATTGTCTCTGTTCATTTTTTTTTTAATTCATTCTCATATTTTCAAATAAATACTTCTCTCTCTTTTGGAATAAATGGCAAAATTTTTTGAAAATTATTAAAATCAATCTTTTAGCAAAAAATGAGTAAATTTGAGGAGTTCTAAATTTCAAAATGGAATTATTGTCGTAATTTATTCCTTTTAAAAAATAGTAAAAAACTTTTTTTTCTTTTTTCTTAAATTTAAAATTATTTTTGTATGGTAAAAAGACGTGTATACTCAATATATTATTCTATTCCAGAAATATTAAATTATATGTTTTCACCATGCACATGAAATTAATCCATCGAAGGATTATCTTGCTCGTAGTCATTATCCGCATGCATAACAATACTTCAGATGAATTAAAGTAAAACCACATGATAATAAAAATTTTCTGGATAGTATTAATAGCCCAATTATTCTGGTGCTAATTTTAGTTGTAAATTTCAATTCCATATTTTGATTGCAATAATTTTAGGTAGAAATAGAATATTTATATCAGTTACTATGTGGGATATGAGTAAATATGCAGCAAAAATGTCTATGAATACACAGCAATTGCAGTCCAGTAAACACGTTTCGTAACATTACGTACGTATTCGCGCCCACCAGTTCCGCATAAATCCCGTTTATTAACGTTAGTGAAATGAATATCTCTGCAGTTGTAATACAATACCTAACGTTTAATATCAATCTGTGATGTCACATGAAGGAAGATCAACAGATGATAATTCCGATACTGAACGTATAAGAAATACGGTAATCATGGAAAATGTTACCAATTCATTTGGATCACTTGAAAATGCTGATCAGGTTCTGGCTGAATTTGGTAAATTTTATTTTAATTTTAGAAAGAAAAAAGGGAAAACAATAGATCGAATAAAAAATTTACAATTTTCCATTGTGTAATTTATAAAATTTTATTTGTGATTAAAATTTATAGGTAGTTATCAACGATATGTTTTATTGATTACAACTTTATTATCATTTAATTGGGCAATAGCTTCAATGCCAATAATGCACGGTACATTTATCATTGATGATGATTGCATCCTAAATACTACAAGTCTCGGTACCAATGTAGACAATGTAAATGCATGCATGGAAAACTCTCAAACAATAACTCCAATCTCTGAGGTATTATTTGTCATTTTATTACAATGTCAAAGTGTAAATAACTAAAACAAGTACGTATAAGCATTTCAAAGCAAATAGGTATGACTTAGCATTTTAGATAAACAAGCATTCATAAGAATTTTAAGTAAATACAAATATACATCAGTATTTGAGGTAAACAATTATGCATAAACATTTCAGGTAAACAAGTTTGCATAAATGTTTCAAATATATACCTCTAAAATTTAAAATATGTAACCTGTAAATATATATTTTATCTAAATTTACAGTTTAATTTACGCGGTAGTCAACGATATCTGGTAGAATGGACCACTTCAGCATTTATGCTAGGAAATATGATCGGCGCCAGTTCGCTTACATATTTATCGGACAAGTAAATTGCACTTTTATGAAATAAAATTTCGGTATAATTATTAAAAAAAATTTAACTTTCATCCTATGCATTGAAATATAATCACTATAAAAATTTTGCTTTCATTTCATGCATTGAAATATAATTACCAAAAAAATTTCACTTTCATCTCATCTTTAATAATAGCGTAATTGATATATAACGAAAGAAAATCTTCATAATAATTTGTTCATTTTTTTTTCAAGCGTTTTTTTTTTCTTTAAATGAAACATACTTCAATTTCTATGAATTAAAGAAATGAAAGCCAATTATGAAAAAGGTTTACTTTCATTCCTAAAATTCATCGGTTAACAAATATTCTTCAGCACTTTTTTTTAGTATTGGACGACGTCCAGTGTTAATTTCAAGCCTATTATCGCTTGGAATTATTGGTATATTAACTTCCTCAGCTAAAGATATTGTTGTTTTTATTATTGGACGTTTCATACAAGGTTTTTGCTCTCCGGTTTGCCTTTTAAACCGAATTTTAAATTATAATTTTTGAAATAGAATAAAATAACCGGTGGAATTGAATAATTAATTGAAGTAGTGTGGGCTAAAAATGAATCAATTGATAAGATAATAATGAAAATTAGGAAAATTTTAGAATGAAAATACCATAAAAGTGAAGCAAATATCAGTAAATATTACCTCTTTTTAAGCTTACAATTTTTTTCTTTTCTCTTATTTATTATTCTTTCTGCCAGGGTGCATTGTTGGTCGGTTGGGTACTTGGTTATGAAAGTGTACCAATTGGATTACGCGGTTTTGTCACTTTGATATATGGTATTATGTGGGTAGTGGGCTTCTGTGCGGTAGCTCCACTTGTTTATTTCATCGCTAATTGGCGATGGCTAATGATTACATACTCGATACCTTCAATAGTACTCGCTGCTACATATTTCTTGTTAGTGTTTTTCTATTAGATTTCAAATGAAAAAAAATTTGTTTTCCTAAAACTTTTTTATTTAAAAAAAAGAAGGAAGGAAACGTTCATAAATTTCCTTATTTTTGTCTTAATTTTTTAAAACTGATCTTTTATCGTTTATTATTTTTTTGCAAATTTTTTTGAAATATCTTGATGGTATTGCATAGATTATTTAAATTTAAGAAAATTTTCTAAAAAATAAACAGTATCAATTTTAGTATTATTCCGGAAAGCCTTCATTTCCTGATGGTTAATGGAAGAAAGCAAAAAGCCGCGAAATGGATTCGAAATGCGGAAAAATATGGAAAGGTTTTGCATAAAAGAAATGTAGATATGATGGTGGAACTGCTCGAGAATACGTATTTAGACGAGAAAATGCATGAAAGAGAAAAGAAAATTACGGAAAATTTGAGGTTTGGTAATTGTTTCATTTATTTCAAACACACAATTTCTCTTCAGATCATTCATAAATTATGAATGATCTGAAGAGAAAAATTTTAAGCATACTTTTCTTCTTCTCGAATATTTAAAGAAAAAACTGGAATGAATTTATCGCTTTAGTTGGAAGTTAATATTTCGGACAAATTTTTGCTTGCAAAACAAAATAGCGCTAGTAAGAAATAACAATTGCGCAACGTTTCTTTCTTCTTTTTCCTTTGAAATTTATAAACTATCTGAGTATCATCATTAGTACAATAACAAATGATAATTATGACAATAATAATTTTAAATAAATAATAATTTCAGGTCACCATTACTAGACCAATTAATGGAACATAAAATTTTCTGTATTTATACATTTATCTTAATTTATCTGTGGTAAGAATTTTCATTTCATTTCATCGAAATGCTACTCGAACATTCGCACAATGTAAAATATTACGTGCTAATGTTTAAGACGTTACAATAAATAATATATTCGTAAGATTTACCTATGATTTAGAATTTTATGCTTCATTCTCAGTGTATATTATTCCGATTTCAGGTTAGTACTTTTATTGTTTATATTGTTGAAAAGTTTCCAGAACTAATCAAATCTTTAGGACTAGTGATACATTCCTTTATTATGGCTTATCGAATTATAGTATTCATTTACCAGGAAATAAATACTGGAACTATGTATTATCAGGTTTAGCCGAGTTGCCAGCATATATTACTATACCTTATGCTCTTGAAAAGTAATTTCTTGTTTCTCTTTTTCTTGACTTTAATTTTACACTTCAATCAGTCATAAATGTAAACTGATCTATATACTGAACTAATTATGCATTAGAGAAATATAATAAAACATTTTGGTTTATTTTCAAACAAAAATATTATTTTTAATAGTTCACCGTAT